GAGAGAGAGAGAGAGAGAGAGAGAGAGAGAGAGAGGCAGAGAGAATACCTCTGTTTTGAACAGACATATTTTTGATTCACCCTCAATTAAACTGTTTCTGTAATAAAGACAAACGGCCCAAACTTTATGTGAGTTTTATTAAAATAATTTTTTCTATTAAATGAAATCGAGAGTTCTTATTGAGACTATTTATTGTTCTAGATGTTCCTTTTTTATTGTTCCTTCTTGATGCTTTGGCAATACTGTAACTGAATATGGTCATACCGGTAAAGCCTATAGAACTGAATTAAACAGAGAGAGAGAGAGAGAGAGAGAGAGAGAAGAAATTGATTAAGGGACAAAAATGCACGGAAGTGGTTGAGAGCAGAAAAGAGAAGTAAAAGAAGGAGAAAGGAAACAGAGGGGTGAGAAGAGATACAAAAAAACAGAACAATAAGGGGAAACGAAAGAAAAGAAAAGAAAAGAAAAGAAAGAGTGATGTAGAGCAGAGCACAGGAACAGAGAGAGATATAGAGAGATACAGAGAGAGAAACAATACGTAGATTTATATATATATATATATATATATATGTGTGTGTGTGTGTGTGCACATTCACACTCACTTACTGATCGCAAACATGATCACAGCACACTACTCAACCGTCTTCTCACAGGAGCTAAAGGCTCACACACTAATCATGGGTCTGCATGTTTATTACAGTGTTATTATCAATTATAAATAAGTTATTATCAATAGTTGATGCCTTTCTTGCCAACAGGTTGTTTTTACTGATGCCGATCTCTAAGGTCGGTTTCTCTGCTATAACGAAAGGGGGTGTATTACACTTTTGGGGGTTGACCAATCAGAACAGAGTGGGCGAGCTGACCAATCAGAGCACACTGGGCTCATCGGGAGGCGGGGCTTAAAGACACAGGAGCTCTAACAGAGCGTTTCAGACAGAGGGTGATTAGAGATGTACAGTGTGAGAAAAACAATGTGTTTTTCGAACAATGAAGCAGGTTAATCTGTTCTAGACCCCCAAAATAAAATGATAAACATTGAAAATTAGCATAATAGGTCACCTTTAAAATACCAAACCCTATCTGACCAACTTTCCTGGTCAAACTGGTCAATATGAGCAGCTATAAAGGTGCAGGTTAAGAAAGCTGAAGCAGCTACATGAGTAATCTCAGTGATTAAAAGGACTGGGGAGCTGGGGGGGGGTGGAGTGAAGGTGGGGGGTGAAGGTGGCTGTAAGGTTTTGGGCGGTGTGAAGGAGCCATGTTTGCATAAGCACATATTAAACAGCGCGGACCCCTCCTCATCAGAACGAGGGCGTCTCAAGCCGCCGTTTGAAGTCTCCTCTCCGTCATTAAGCCGACCTGCATTCATTAAGACAAACACTCTCTCCACTCAAAGGAGCCGCATTCTGATTCTCCTTTGCGCCGTTGTTTTCGTGCCATACCTTATTAGGGAGTCCTCCTCACGTCCAAACAATCATTTCAAAGATGAACGAACATGGTTTGCTTTCATTTCATTTCACTGTATGTTTTTTCCTCAGTTGAGGAGCTAATGAGGTAAAAAGGTTGGTGCGTTTAAACACAGGTCCGGATATATTTTACACCGTTTCTGATTATTTTGAGATGCTATTATGAACGGATGATTTTTTCAACCCATTTAAATGATTATGATAAGGGTGAGCGAATAAAGGCAACAAATTTTACTGGTTGCTGCTGTTGATCTGGAAGTTTGCTTATTATTGGAAAATTATTCAACCCAAAATAATTGATGTTGATTGTGAGAACAATTCCTATGTTTTTGCAAGTTTGCAAAAGAAAAAAACATAAGCAAAACACACATTTGTAGAACTAAACTCGCACTCACGTTTATGAAATGTTTTGTCGTCAAAATTAAAATTGCCTTTTGTATGTTTGACACAAGGGGCAGCACGGTGGCGCCGTTGGTAGCGCTGTTGCCTCACAGCGAGAATGGCCTGGGTTCGATTCCCGGCCGGGTGACCAGGGTCATTTCTGTGTGGAGTTTGCCTGTTCTCCCCGTGTCTGCGTGGGTTTCCTCCGGGTACTCCGGTTTCCTCCCACAGTCCAAAAACATGCAGTCAGGCTGATTGGACTTGCTGAATTGCCCCTAGGTGTGAGTGTGAGTGTGTGTGTGAATGTGTATGTCTGTCTGTCTGTCTGCCCTGCGATGGACTGGCGACCTGTCCAGGGTGTATCCTGCCTTCCGCCCAATGACAGCTGGGATAGGCTCCAGCACCCCACCGCGACCCAGAAGGATAAGCGGTTTAGATGATGTATGTATGTATGTATATGTATGTATGTATGTTTGACACACAACAAAACCTCGTATCTCCATTTCTGTCATTTTTCAGTTTTGACATAATTTGAAAAAACCTGTTGGTCTTTATATTGTCTGTAAATTTCATGATGAATGGACCAAAAGAAACGTCCAAAAATTACTTGGAAAAATTCTGGTTCCATTGACTTTCATTAAAAGCAAGGTAGGTTTTTTCTTTTTCCTGTAAAGTTACCATTTAGAGACATGAGGTTTTGTTCTGATGACATACCACAATCATATGTGGTATGTATATATATATATGTATATATATAGTGACTGTATATATATGTATATATATAATGTATGTATATGTATGTATATATAATGACTGTGATACGTCATCAGAACAAAAATGGTAACTTTACAGGAGAAGGAAAAAACCTACTTTACTTTTAATGTAAGTCAATGGAACCAGAATTTTTCCAAGTAATTTTTGGACGTTTCTTTTGGTCCATTCATCATGAGATTTACACCCAATGTAAAGATCAACAGGCGTTTTCAAATTATGTCAAAAACTGAAAAATTACAAAAAAATGAGATATGAGGTTTTGTTCTGACAGCAGTGACATATATGTTGACGCTGATGTCCAATGGGATTGTTTGTCATTAATGCATTGCTGCTGGCACACCAACAAAAAACCCTAACAACCAAGTGGGATACTTTTTAAAAGACTGATTCCACAAAAAATCAAATGTACACAATTTTCCCCTTTTCCTTAGCTGCAGTCGATCAGCCAGGACACGCCTGGTGTTCAAAGTCTTTCTTAAATGTAGTCTCACTATACTTACAGATCATTTTGCTGGTTTGAAACTCATTTCTTACAACAAGCAAAATTATCTGCCAATATTGTGAGATCATTTTACTTGAGAAGATATTATTTTTTGTTGTATTTATGTTTATTTGTATTTATTCCAATGGCAAGCAAAAATACTAAGGTGACTTTGTACAATGCTGTTCTATGGAAAAGATTTGGGTGACTATTAGCATCTAGAGGTTGTTAGCTACATTAGCCTCACAGCTCTAGCTCTAAACTAAAAAGCCAAATCTGAACACCAAGCATGTCTTGGCTGACTGACTACATCTGGGTTCAGTGGAAATATGTCTGAATTCAAACGTTACGCCTCCTTGTACGTCCATCCTCAAAGACCTATATAACAGTCATATGCAAAAGTTTGGGCACCTCTGGTCGGAGGACACGTGTTGTTGATTTTCTAAGTGAAAGTAAGTTAAAACATCCTCTACATAGAATACTTTAATGCACAATTACTATTAACAACTAATTATTAATTGTCTGCCTTTGCTAAAGCTATGGCAAATTTTATTTTACGTCTATTTTTTCACTTAGAAAATTGACAAAACCCAGATAGAAAGCATGTACCGGTCCACTGCCTTGATAAAGTCAGCACCCCACTGACTGTTCGGACCACCCAGATTACTGTCCTGCATACAAGCAATAACTAGTTTTTGATGTCTTCAAACAGATTTTAAATGCACAGAGACTTTTATCATCATCATCTTTAACTGCTCAGTCCAGATAGGGTCACGGTAGCAGTCGGGAGATCAGTGAGTCCCAGATGACCCTGTCCCCCACCACATCCCTAGCTCATCCTGGCGGACCCCGAGCCGCTCCCAGGCCAACTTGGAGATATAATCCCTCCAGTAGGTCCTAGGACGACCCCGGGGTCTCATCCCAGTAGGCAGTGCCTGGTAAACCTCCACCGGGAGGTGTCCAGGGGGATCTTGATCAGATGCCCGGACCACCACAACTGGCTCCTCTCAATCTGGAGGAGTGATGGCTCTACTTTGAGCTCCTCCCAGATGACCAAGCTCCTCACCTTATCAAGTAGAGTGTCGCCGCCACCCTGCGAAGAAAGCTCATTTCCACCGCTTGTATCCGTGACCAGTCATTACCCAAAGCTCATGACCAGGTGAGGGTGGGGATGTAGACCGACCAGTAAACAGAGAGCTTCACCTTATGGCTCAGCTCCCTCTTCACCACTACAGTCCGGTACAGCGATTGCAGTACTGCTGCCGCCTGTCCCAGCCTGCGGCCGATCTCACCATCCCTCTTCCCATCACTCGTCAACAAGACCCCGAGATACTTAAACTCCTCCACCTGAGACAGATCCTTTCCTCTCACCTGGAATGGGCATGCCATCCCTTTTGAGGCTAGTCTTTTATTTTAAAAATAAACTCAAACAAATATTACAAACAACAGAGAAAAAAAAGGCCTAATATAAAATGCTTTTATTGAAAATGTTGTTGCTGACACTGTGCAAGATTAAAATTATTTCCTAAACGAATTTACAAAGTATAACTAAAGAAAGAAAGGAAGGAAGGAAAAATAAGTAAATTAGACTGTGAGTGGAAAATGAGCGATGAGAAGTGGAATTTTGTCTAATACTCTGCTTAACCACTGGTGGCCCACCCGGAAAACGCTGAGCAAAACACCAGTGAACCACCAAGTTTGCCATCAGCGGGCCAACAGTGGCCTACTATCCTCTTGCTATCAGTGAACACGCAACTTGGCCGTTTGCATATGACTGTGTGTTATGGAGGTTACATGACAGTGCAGTGGACACACAAACTAAACAGGACTGCAATTCTATGTGCACTCCAACTCCCAGCATGCTTTGAGGAGGTGCTGAGTAGCGCATGGCTCACCTGTCTTCAGATTCGCTGGTCTTCATTCCCCGTCAGCGCTCAACGGCAATGGCAGGAGCAATCTGCACACACAGTCATTAAAGAGGATGTGGGTTAGTGTGTGTGAGAGAGAGAGAGAGAGAGAGAGAGAGAGAGAGAGAGAGAGGGATGTGGGTTAATATGTGTGACTTGGTGAGTGTGGGATGATTATGAGATGAAAGGCGTGATGTGCGGGACTCATAATGAGACTGCAGAGTGATTAATACTGACACTGTGAGCCGGCTCTAATTACTCTAATTCAATCAGTCCCATTCCACTCGCCACACACACACACACACACACACACACACACACTTTTCACACACACTCCATGAGGCTGTCGAAGACACTACATCACTTTTCCTGTGCTTGTTTTGAATGGAAGTCAGAGTGCAGTGATTCAGGGCGCAGTCATGTTTATGGAGATGTCTGTGGGACAAACTACAGAACTACAGCCCCCAAAATATCCCAAACACAGTCCACAGTGTCTCAGGCTGGCTTTACACCACGTAACTTCCATGCAACCTCAGTTGCTTGAAACCTACATGAAAGGAAGTTGCGCTTGAGTTGCATAAAGTAAAGTGTCCTTCAACTCACTTGAAACACAGCCACAAGAGTTACAACCATCTCAACTGTGTGAAACAGCCAATCAAAATGCAGTTAACGCATCATTCCAATGACATACTCTTACTAGATGATTTTAACGGGTCAACTCACGAGAAAACAAAACAAAACATGGCTTATTTGTGAAATGAGATCCTGGGCCCGCATTACAGAAACATCTTAACTCTGAAATCTGTTTAGTTGCCATGACGACTTCAGTACGGACTGAATTTGGGACAGAAGCTATTACAGAATAACAGTTCCTAACTTCATAATCTCATCATGAACTCCAGATAAGAAAACAGCATCACACAAACAACCTAACTAGACTAAACCTCAAAATCCTGTCCTAACTTTAGGATGAACCCCAACAGGGTCCTCACTTCTGTTTAAGGTCCGTTTCTATGGTTTTTAGGCAGCTGTGTCAGCAGCATAGTTCACTACCAGCATAATGAGCTCCATTTATCTCTACTGTAAAACGCTGCTTTCACTGTGAGATGATTTTCTTTTCTAACTCTGCGTTTTAAAGATCTCAGACGCTGCAGACTCGATCTCCACCGCCCCTCTGATCACCTTCGTGTGTTGATGATGATGATGAAATATTACAGTGATGGTGGTGAATAATGAGGAGACGGAGCTGAACGTGTGTCTGTTTATTAGAAGGAGTAACGTTAGCATGCTCGGCTAAAGCGTTTGGGTAATGGAGACTGAAACTGGGGAGTGGAGATGCTCTGATAAACAGCAGGGGGCGCTCTCACAGTATTCACAACTAACAGTTTATCACGCTTGGTTTGTTTGACTTTTACATCAATTTCGGTAGCTAATGTTCGCTGTCTGGCTGACTAGCTTGATTGCTTTTTTACGTTTCAGCTGTGCGCTTGCGGTTGGTTGCTAGGCAACAGACATGACAGTCGATTGTTGACTTCACTTAAGTAAGTTTAGATCTCCTAACTGGAGATAAGAAAAAAGTGTGTATCACTTTTACAGTGAGTCTCTCAGTAAAGAGTCCCGCAGATAGAGCTGCTGCCGCTGTTTTCCATTCCTAACAACTACCTGAAACCTGGTTAGACCACGTATTCACAGTGAGTGACGTATCTAGAACTTCCAGAGGTACTACAATAATGAAATTAGTCCCACCTGTTGTAAATCAACAAGTGATTGGTTGATTTCTCTGCCCGTTCCTAATTATGTTGGTAGTTAATCAAACATGTGAGGCCTTCAGTTCAGCTCCTGAAGTCCTAACCTATGAGAGAGCTCGGCTGTCTCTACCTAGATATCATAGACAAATAAATTATGGACAGTTCTCCCCCTAATCAAAACTTATCAATGAAATAGAGTATTAATATTTGCAGAGTTTAACTCCTTAAATGGCCAGAACCCACTGACAAGCCCAAAGTCTTATTATACACTTCTATAATCTAAGAATAGCTCAACCATAAGCCTTAGTATGTAATAAGCTTATGTATGATAAGCTTATATTATAAGCTATATTACAAGATTATAAGGGGTTCAATTTAAGTACATTGTTATTATTATTAAACATAAATGAACAGTCATGTATTTTTTTTTTTATTTGACAGAAATTATTAGGCAAAAAGGGCTCTATATAGTACCAGAAAAGGTTTGGCTTGTAACATTAGTAGAACCCTTTTTGGTGCTATATAGAACCCTTTTCAAAAAAGGTTATATATAAATAATATATATATATATATATTATTTAGAGACACCATTACACCATGCCAAGAACCATTAAATCTTGCAAAGGGTTCTTTCAGTGTCCATGGTTCTATATAGAACCGTTTTCTTTACTAAAGAACCCCATCTTTCTAAAGAGTGTATATGATAATATGGGATCTGAATGAGAATTTATTTGGACGTATGCACCAGTTATCAGCTGCATTTGGAATAAAAAGACACGGTCATGTTTCTTAACGTGTTCCCTGTTGGGTCACCTGGTTCCACTCTACCTCACAAATATAAGAACAGAAATGTGTGTGTGGTCATGAATTTACTACGTTATGGGGACCAAATTGTCCCCAAGCTGACAGAAGGAAATCTAAAACGTTTTTATTTTTAAACAGATTGCTGTTAAACTGCTTCTTGAAACGTAGCTTTTATTCGCACAAGTAAAAGAGCCAGAAGATTTCTGATTGGTTCCTGAGGGTGAGATTAAGTGGGTGAGGTTTAGCAGAGAAGCATGAAGCTACAGTAGATACAGAAGACAGTGGACATAAAAACTTATGCAAACTAGAATACCAGCTAATGTGTCCCTGAGACAGCCGTCAGGGAATTCTCGGTGCGACTGCCCTGACCGGCTGGCTGGTGAAAAATCGCCCCTCGTTGGTCCACAAAGAAATCGGTGCGAATTCCACCCCCCCCTTCTCCTCTGTCGTAATTAGCCAAAGCCCGTTGACTGACGACCTCGTTAACGAGCGGCGTCACGGCGATCCCGCTTCACTTTGTTTCGTGTGGGATCAGAAAGGAAGTTGCAGCCAATTATCATAATTAAGCCGGTTGATTTGTTCGGCGCAGCGCACGGGGAAGGATGGCTCTCGTTAGCTAAACACCTCTGCAACAGATTTGGATTCACCGGTTCTGCTGCCGGGCTTGTAAACAAGTGAAGCAGGCGCATGGAGATTTTTCATATGGCAAAAGCTCCCCTTGCCTTTCAGCCCCCCTCTCTCCCCCTCTCCCCCTCTCCCCCTCCATCTATCTCCTTCTCATGTACACAAATATACGCCCACACGGGTTAACGGATAATCAGCACTTGTTGGGAAAGGGGAGGGAAGATGAATTGCTCTCCATTCACAACTTCAGCTCGGGCCACACTGGGAGCTGATAAGAACACAAGCAGGGCAGAAGCGTGCGGCCTGCCTCGGTCGAGTGTGCGTGTGGGTATGCCTCGTCTCATTTGACTCGCCCTACACCGCATTGTCTCCGTCCTTCTTATCTTAGCTTATGTGTACACGTGTCCAACAGGACACAGGACTCCGGAGTGTAGTGAGTGTAGGTGGGTTCCTATGTGCAAAGGGTGTGGAGGTAGTGTGTGAGGGTGAGTGTGAGTACAGTGTGGAGCTACGTTTTTTGTGTTAGTCAATACAGATACACTGCAAAAAAGGGTGTCTTGTCAAGTAAAATTATCTTAAATATGGTCATCATCTAATATTTCCCCCTTTTTAAGATTGTTGTGAGTTTAAGACTCCTTGTTTCTAGACTTTTTTACGTTTTAATGAATTTAAGTTTTAATTTTAATTTAATTTAAAGTAAAATTATCTCACTATATTGGCAGAAATGAGCTTGAAACCAGCAAAATGATCTGCCAGTATAGTGAGATAATTTTATTTAATAAAAGTAAATAATAAATCTCATACTAAGTGCACGACCATCTCAAAATGGAAGATATTAGATATATTGACTAGAATTAAGATAATTTCACTTGACAAGATATCATTTTTTTGCAGTGCATAGAGATACGTGTATAAAATGATTCTGCACTGCAAAAAACAGTATCTTGTCAAGTAAAATGATCTTAAATATAATCAATAAATCTAATATTTCTCCTGTTGTGAGCTTATTTTAAGATTATTTAACTTATTTCCAAACATTTTTTACTTGTTTTAAGTAATATTATTAAGTAAAATTATCTCACTAAATTGGCAGATAATGTGCTTAAACCAGCAAAATGATCTGCCAATATAGTGAGATAAATATTTCTACTTGATAAAATTACCTAAAACAAGTAGAAATTAAGCAAAATAAGCTTATAATTAGTGCACAACCATCTCAAAATAAGAAATTGCTGCTGTCGAAACAAAACTTTGTATCTCCATTTTTGTTTTTCAGTTTTTGACCTAATCTGAAAATGCCTTTGTCCTTTACATTGTATGTAAATTTCATGATGCATGGAGCAAAAGAAGTGACCCAAAATGACTCGGAAAGACGTCTGGTTCCATTGACTTACATTAAAAGTAAAGCATGTTTTTTCCTTCTCCTGTAAAGTTTTGGAGATGCAAGATTTTGTTCCGACAGCAGCAAAATATTAGAAATATCAACTAGATTTAAGATCATTTCACTTGAAAAGACACTATTTTTGGCAGTGTAATATGTGTGACCTGTGCTAGTGCTGTCAAAGGTAGCACATTAAAAAACATTAAAATATTCCATATTACCAGCACTAATAGTTTTTAACATCTTTAATGTGTTTTCATAGTTTGGCCCTTCAAACCATCCGTAATTCCGGCCTGAAGTCCTGCTACTCACTATGACTCTGATACTGTGTAGCCCTCTTGCTCCAAAATGGATTTAGCTTTCATTGATGTCTGTCCTGATAAAAGGTTATTTCCAGCTACTGCAACGCCAGGAATTTGTTTACCAGTAAAGTATATCAAGTGTTGAGTCTGAAGTATCACTTACAAAACACAAAACAGCAATGAAGCTGCAG